AGGAGAAGAGGGGATGGGAGCGGTGAGGGGAGGGGAGAAAGAAGGGAGGGAAGAGAGAAGGGAGGGGAGCGACAGGGGATGGGAGAGAGAGGGGATGGGAGCGGTGAGGGAGAGAGAGGGGATGGGAGCGACAGGGGTTGGGAGAGAGGAGATGGGAGCGGTGAGAGGGGAAGAGAGGGGATGGGAGAGAGAGGGGAGGGGGGGGGAGGGGGAACTGGGGTTGGGATTCGGGATCGGGATTGGGGTCGGGATTGGAGATGGGATCTGGTTCGGGATAGGGATCGAGATAGGGATAGGGATCGGGATTGGGGTCGGGGTTGGGATCGGGATTGGGGTCGGGGTTGGGAGTGGCGTCGGGACCGGAACTGGGTCGGGACCAGAATCGGGATCAGGGTTGGGATCGGGACTAGAGTTGTAATCTGGGGTCGAGATTGGGACCGGGATTGGGATGGGGTCGGGATTGGGATCAGGATCAGGGGCAGGATCATGGTCGGGGTCAGAATCAGGGTTGGGAATGCGGTCGGGACTGGGTTTGGGTCAGGGTCGGGACTGAGGTTGCGATCCGGGGTTGGGGTCGGTCTGGGGAGTGGGGTCGGGATTGGATTGGGGTCAAGGTTGGAGTCGGGGTCAGGATTTGGGTTTGACTCAGGATGGGAGTCAGGATCGGGATTGGGGTTGGGATCGGGATCAAGGTCAGGGTTGTGACCTGGGGTTGGGATTGGGATTGGGGTCAGGACTGGGTCAAAGTCAGGATTGGGGTTGTTGCCAGGGTCTGGATTGGGGTCAGGAACAGGATTGGGGTTGTGATCCATGGTTGGGATTGGGAGTGGGGTCTGGATGGGGTTGGGGTTGTATCAGAGTCAGGATTGGGGCTGGGATCAGGGTCAGGGTCAGGATTTTCCAGCCTCCACGATCCCCCGTTCCCTGAACTGCTGCCTTTCCGTTGAACTCCAGCTGATCTGGGATTCCTGCCCCGGTTCTCCCGGGATCCCACTGAACCGCCCCCCCTCGGCCGTTCCCTGCGGGATCCCCTGTCCGGAGCCGCGTGGTTTGAGCCCCCCCAGGGGAATCCTGCCATGGAGGAGGTGGAGTCACGATTCCTGCACCTGCTCCAGCCCATCCGGGACCTCACCAAGAACTGGGAGGTGGACGTGGCAGCCCAGCTCGGGGAGTACCTGGAGGAGGTAACGGGGGGGCTCCTGCCCCATCCCCTTCCCTGTGCCACCCCCACATCCCAGCGGGACTCAGCCCCTCCCGTCCCTGCCCTTCCCAGCTGGATCAGATCTGCATCTCCTTCGACAACGGGAAAACCACCATGAATTTCACGGAGGCGGCGCTGCTGATCCAGGGCTCTGCCTGCATCTACAGCAGGAAGGTGAGCACCCAGGGGGTCCCTGCTGCATCCCAGTCCCGTGCCAGGCCCGTTCCACGAGCCCTCAGCTCCGTGGGGTCACCCTGGAATCCCCCCTTGGCTTTGAGAGACCCGAGTTAAACGATTAACGGGAACAAAGGGATTTATCGTTCCTAATTTTAATTGCTTTGTAGGTGTTGGCAGCCTGGAAAAGAGCAGGGGTTTTGCTGTTCTCCCGTTTTTCTGCAGAGGGTGGGATGTAAAATCTTATCTCCTCATAAAATCACGGGATGGTTTGGGTTGGAAGAACATCAAAGCCCATCCAGTACCACTCCTCTGCCGTGGGCAGGAACACCTTCCACTAGGCCTTTCAAAGCCAGGTTGCTCCAAACTAGCTTTGAAAAATTCCAGGGATTTCCCCAAATCTGGCCTCAGGATGGCTGAAATAGGGAAAAGAACAATGAGAATTTATGGAATTGAACTCCAGCTGTCCTGAGATAATGGGAGGTGAGGGGGGAGGGTGGTTCATCGGGTGGAGTAGCTTTCCTGGAAGCTGCTCCCAACCTTTCCCAGCTCCAGGTGCTGTTTTCCAGGTGGAGTACCTGTACATGCTTGTCTGCCAGGCACTT